AAAAAATGAGTAAACTTGTCTTCTATTGTGTGAATATATTTTATTTTTCGTAAAAAATTACGTAATGCAATATTTTATATATTTTATGTAATTAATCAAATTTTTGTAATATTACATAGTACAATAGTACACTTCATATATCGCTATGGAATATAGCGCGATCATATGCGCTTTTGTCATTTTATATTATATAATATTTGTGTAATTACAAAGAAATATGTAACTTAAATTTGTCCTCTGTAGTGTAAATATATATTATTTTATTGCCGGAAATTTATATTAAAAGAAAAAGAGCGTAGAAATGACCAATCTCCGTTTCTTTTTCTTCAATATATCACAGCATTGGATAGAAAGTGATAGGTATTAGCCGTTTTCGCGTTCTATTCTTCTAATTTTTGTCGATTACTTTTACATGTAGAAAGTACGTATTTCATGCTTTATGTCAATGCGCCATCTCGAAGCGCCATCGATTATATAAGAATCGAACAATCGAAGAGCCTTGTAATTCTTGTAAAGATCACGAGCGAGTTTCGTCGTTTCGTGTCGACCGGGAGTTGCTAACGCCCAACCTTTGGGAACCTTTGTCAGAGAATATAGTTGAAGAACATCTGAGAAAATGTCTTCTTACGGCTCAGGTTTGTTATATTATAACTTTAAATATTATAAGAGGTTATGACGTTTTATATCATACAAGAGATTATAATATGTTAATATTATAACCTCTTTTATGATATAAAACGTCATAATGTCATGATTACATAATTATTTTATCAATATTTTGTGGTTTAATACATATGCAATAAAGTAATATACAAAAAATATTCCAGGAAACAGCTGGCAGATCTGCAGAAGAAGTTGCTGCTTCGATGATTGCACATTTGTACACAAGTATAAATATTGTTACAATTACCAGAACACCATCTGCAGCAGGGAGGAGATGTGTCCATACATCCATATAACAAGTGTGGAGCAGGCCAGATATGAGGCAACAGGGAAAGCAACGGAATATCTAAAGCAAGAGGTTGGCCGGACCCTCCAAAATCCAAATATTTGCAAAGATTTTAAAAATGACAATTGCAATAGGGACAATTGTAATTTGCGACACGTAAATTCAAATAGGTCATTAGAGTGTCCAATATGTTGTGAAGAAGTGAAAAGAGATACTTTTGGCACATGTACCTGCGGACACATGATATGTTATACTTGTGCCTTGAACTGTATATATTACACTCAAGGAGAAGAACGTGAAAACGATTCAATTAAGATTAAGTGTCCTATGTGTCGATCAATTGAGGGATATAAAAAACTGATGTAAATGCTTTTGTAGTTATATAGCTTGTGTCGTTTTGTTGTTATATAGCTTGTGTCGTTTTTAGCTTTTGTCGTTGTTAAATTTAATTATTGAAGAGATAAATAAATGTATTATTATATTGATAAATATATTGCAATAAAAAATATATTTTATTCCTCAGTAGAAAAATATAAAATTATTTTTATTTCTAATATGTTCTACACGTATCACAAATTAAAAATGTTTTTGGCTATAAATATATGTAATACAAAATTATAATCCTTATTATTTCTTCAGATATTAGTTTTCTTCTATCTGCCTTGTTTTAGACCTCCTCTATTTTTATTTCTATGACTTCCCTGTAAATATATTTAATTTTTATTAAACATAATATATAAATATATGTTTATTATACATTTTACAAAATATAAACTAATTTTATTGTATGCAAATAATAATAATTATTAGAGCAAAAATAAATACAATATTTTTTAAACTTACATAATATCATTTTCATTTTCCATTTGTTACATTTTATGCAGTAGTTGACAGGAAGGGGACCATCTACGGAAAATGGGAGCCGTTCTATGCAATATTTGCAATAAACGTGGCCACACATTAATGGCGTCATATCTCCTCCTATTAATATGATGTAACAACTGTTACATGTTGGCTTATTATGTGCTAAAAACAAAAACTTTTAGTTAATTAATCTTATTAATTTAAATTACAATTACAACCTGTTGTACACAACATGATTTTTCATATTAGATCACATGTGAGACATTTCTTTGATAATCATACCCCAGTTTACATTAAATAATAGTATAATAACGTTATTATTATATATTTCTACTCAATGTAACTGTGGCGTAGAAATAGTGTTCAATATTTGACACTACATAAACAGTATAACTGCTAGCAAAATTTCACATACGATTTAGTAGGAAAAATTATATCGTATACAGCAGTCTTTAAATATTTTGCCCCTTCACTGTCAGTGACGCATATATGCAGTGAAGGGGTTAATAATGTTATTATACTATTATTTAATGTATATTTCATATATGCGTCACTGACAGTGAAGGGTTTAAATAATAGAAAAAAATTTACTTTTACGATCAGCTGTGCCACATGCCAAACAAGGCCATATACACTCTCCCAACATTTTTAACGTACAGGCATGTGTTCTCAAATGTCTTGGAAGAGATTCTCTTAGCAGATATGCTAATCGCTTCATTTCTTTATAAATATTTTCTCGAAAAGGTCGTATATTTCCATTTATTTCCGAGACTTCATCTTCGGTCAAATGTACAAATTTACATGATATGTTTCCGTTGCATGAAGTCCTTGTGCACATTCTAATCTCATGGGGCATTTTGCATGGATTTCGGACGCATACTCGAATCATGTAATCTCTACAAGCCATTATAACAATTACAACAATAGGATAAAACGACACAAGCAAATAATAATACGACACAAGCAAATAATGCGAGAAAAGCAAAAGTGGCCGACTGGCCGCGTTTAAACATCCCAGATCTAAAGGCTCTCGCACACTGGGCGCGACCGATAAGTGATAGCCAATGAGAGTTCTGCTTTACCGTACGTAGCGTCCGGCGCTGGCGCTGAGGACCTCCATGAGGACGGTCCTTCATGGATACGGTTCGCGCTTGTGTACGTGTCGGATATCCGCCATTCCTTCGGTGACTTTAGAAACGAAGTCATCGCTTCTGTTGTTTTTTCGCTTGTGTCGTAGTATTAATTTGCTGGTGTCGTGTTACTAATTTGCTTGTGTCGTAGTGTTTCTATTGTAAAAGTGATACGCCGTGATTATACATTATTCGTGTATGCGTCTGAAACCATACAACATGAGGTTAAAATGTGTACAAAAACCTCGTGCAATGAAAGCATATTATGCAAATTTGCACATTAATCCGAAGATAAGGTAATACTTAAAGATAAAATAGATATTAAGGCTGAGACATGATCAGTCTCAGTATTATATACATAATTTACATATCAATATTTGCTAGGTTATAAGGCAATTGCATTTTGTGTAATGTTACAGCAATATATCGGTAATAGTCCATACATTGCTATGGATTATAGCATAATTATATGTAACATGGCGGTGACGCGCTGTTGCCATGCCACTGTGAGGTGGCGCGTCTTCGATAGTGTTTTGTTTTAACAAGCGAAAGAAACGGTTCAGGAATATTCCAGTTCCACTGTTAGTCGCCGAGTAGTTCGGACGTGCTTGTCTGTATTGTGTTGGAAATTAATATCTTATTGAATAACGGATGCCTATATATATATATTAATACATCCGATTGTCTTGAGTTTCATCTAAAAATCGATGAATTGGTAAGTCTTGATAATACATTATTATAGTTTTACCAACGGGATATTAAGAAATACATTTTCTAAAGATTTTGCTTTTTACGAACACATGTTTTCCGTCGCCTGGTTTTTGATCTTTTAACAGTTTTTTAAGCCTGATCTACAATGTGTTCTTTGCTTTCTGTTTTCTGCTCTTACTTTTTTGCGACTATTTCGTATTTCGCAATTCCGTCGCGTAATGCGATGTTTTTTGCTCTCTGTTGCCCAAAATAAAAATTGACGAACTTCAGAAGAGACAAGAAACATCACGTTACGCGACGGAATTGCGAAATACGAGATAGTCGCAAAGAGGTAAGAGCAGAAAACAGGAAGCAAAGAACACATTGTAAATCACAGGCTTTACTTTCAATCAATCAATTCAAAAGTCATTTTAAGCATTTTCTCTTATCTGTTATTTATACATTTATATACACATTCTTCATATTTTATCATTAATGTAATTTTCGATAGAAAGTGAGATATATTTACACAATGAAAGACAAATTTACATAAATTTTGTAAAATTGGAGTAATTATGTAACTTTACATTTATTTTGTATATCTACAGAATTATTCGTGCAATTTTTATATCTACTAGTGTAAAAAACTTATTGAATTTTTATATATTCTTATCTCATATTCAGTTCTCTTACTCTTATCCAATACAGCTAAATACAACATTATTCTTACATTTTCTGATAAACATTATTATATGTTCAATTATTTTTAATTGTCATCCTAATTTTGTTTTTACATAAATCCATTTTTTCGTTCCTTTTATAGAATTTATTTGTTTCCTGATATTTCTTTTACTTTTTCTTTAACTCTTTTTTTTTATATTTCTTTAACTCTTTCTTTAACTCTTTACAGAATAAAGATATTTATAAATAATAATGTTTAATAATTAGAAGATGGGTAATGTCGCATTTAGCTGTATTAGACTGTATTATAATTGATAATTATATTTAATTATTTTATTTGTTTTTATCTTAGTCGCAATCTTACTTTTATCTGTTTTCTGTTTTGCTTTTTTATTTTCCAGTTTTTCATTATTTTTCTTCGTTATTATGTTACAGGTGTGGTATATGTTATATTAATAGATTCTATCAGAGATATTAGTAAATCTAATACAGTAAGACTAAAAAAATTGGTTTTTGACATTTCACTTTTTCAAATAAAAGTAAGTCCTATATTTTATTTATTATGTTATTTAGAAACATTATAAATGTTGCAAACTCATTAATTTTGTATTGAATAGAGTAAATATTTAAAATATATATATATATATATATATATATATATATATATGTATATGTATATTTATATGTATTAATATTTACGCTATATACATATTCATAAGCTAATAAAGTTCAATTGACTCGCGAGTTTAGTAATATGTTCTAAATTTTAGAACAAATTACTAAACTAGATATATTATATGTATATATATCTTTAAATATATTTAGAGCAGTAATAGGTTTTTTTAATTTTTTTTTAGGAATATGTTACAATTCCTTTTTGGCACAAACATACAATTTTCTTCCTGAGTCCAATTCCATTTTTCCTTTCTTTTACTCAATACATATTCGACAATGTTTCAATGTAATATGTGTAATAGTATATTTTTATCTATACGTTTGTATAACAGACATCAAATTCTTCATATGAACATGCCTCATTTAAAAATCATCTGTCGGTTTAAAAACTGTGGACTACATTTTAATAAATATTTTAATTTTCGGAAACATATTTTTAGACAACACATAACAAATGATAAGAACGAAACATACATAACTTATTATTGCAAAGAA